TACCATTCGGTCACGGACCTAGAAAATGTATCGGCAATCGATTTGCTCTCATGGAGACTAAGATTCTGATAGCTCATCTTTTACAAAAATTCACTCTGAAGACTACGGATAAAACTGTCGAACCAATCATATACGATGAAAAGGAGTTTACGTTGCAACCCGCTGGCGGATTCTGGATTGGCTTGGAGAAGAGAGAAACGTGAATAAGAAAAAATTATATATTACGATAAACATTATGACTTGCGTAGACTCTTAAGTTTATTTAATTGTGCATATCGTTTTTAATAATTTATATATAACTTCCACTTGGCGCTATATGGTATAGTAGAAATAATAAAGTTAATATATCCTTAATTCTTTACGTAAGAACGTCGCGCAAACGTCTTTCGCACATTTTTCTTTCAAAATTTCTTTTCAGTTCGAATTATGTTTGTTGTAATTTATTGTAAATTTAAGCGTTCGAAGTTATATTATTATATATATTTAAATAAGTATAACAAAACAATATTATTAATAGCTGATGTAGCACGCTATAATATTGCATATATATATATACAATATGTGCATTTATAATATTTTTCAATAATATTTTTTTATAAATAAGATATTCAAATTTTTAATAAAATCAAATCACTATTTTGTTATAACTATATAAAATATATACAATCTAATTATATTAAACTAGCAAAGCAATTGACATTTTTCAACACATTTCAGACATTGTTAATCAAAGATTGTTAATCAGATATGAATGTGAATCAGATATGATTAATTCTCTGAGATTAGATTGTATATAAAAAAAAATAAGGAAAACAATCCATTACTTTTAGTCAGTGCAAATTGTGCAGATAATCATTAAATTAATTTCCTACACAGGCGTTTACAGTTAAGAATTTGTTATTGATTGCGATATTTCTGAGAGATATTTTTTAAATATTGATAAGAGTTTTTTATAAGATTATAGGAATGTAATGTTATTTTGTTATCGAGAATGATATCATGCGAAAATGATAAGATAATGATAATAATATGAATCAAAGCTACTTATTGCAACAATGTTTTGAATCTTGATAGCTACTTACATATATAAATGCAATTTATCTTTTTGTAAACATACATTGTAAATTTTGTCTTCCTTTTTATTTTTATTTTTTATTAATTGGAATTGTTATAATTGGGTCTTTTACATTAACATAAAATGATAATTAATAAATAATAATATGCTTATCAGCACAAGTTATAAATACGTGATTGTAGATATAATTGTCTATAGTGCATGAAACATCGTCACGACACATTCGTATCGAATAAACAAAAAAAAGATTGGCGTATCATTTTAGCTTCAAAACTCTTTTTAATCTTTTATCTTTTATTGTTTTCTATAACATTGAATATTATCAGATTTCATATTTTAAGTTAAAAGATCTATCACAAGAAGTTATAAGATCACAAAAACTGCGCAACACATATTTATAACACCACGCCAGTATTGGGAGATAGCAGGATTTCTGGCGTATGTGTATTAGTAGCGTGAAATGATCAACACGTGATTAGTTTACATGCTTGTTGTACACTGAGAAAAAAATGTCGTTAATTTGACTAAACTCGTTTAGTTGTAGTGATTTGTTTAATGCAAATATTAATATATTTAAATCAAATATACGTGAGTAATATTAAGAAATTCTGAATTTATTTCAATATAATATTTTTTGAATTAACAAATGTTAGCTTGACAGCCCGTGACCGCTGCATTTAGTTAAATCAAATAATATTTCTTTGAATCAACGATTTTTTTTTCTCAGTGTATGTAAATTGTTTTGCATAAGGCGCTTCCTATGCTACATTTGCGCAGAAAGAAGTTATAACGGTTGCAACGAATGTTGGTATTTATGTAATAAAGTCGAAATTTCTTTTTAGTTCGAATTATGTTTGTTGTAATTTATTGTAAATTTAAGCGTTTGATGTTATAGTATTATATATATTTAAATAAGTATAACAAAACAATATTATTAATAGCTGATGTAGCACGCTATAATATTGCATATATATATATATATATATATATATATATATATATATATATATATA